CCCCCCTTGTGTGAGAGCATAAAACTCTCTGGTAACACATGAGTCCCTCTCGGGAGTTTTGAATAATTTCTATATGCTTATCTGATTTCAAAGTAGATCTCTCCAACAATGGAGGCGGAAGAATTGACTCGCGACGTACTGGGAATCAAAAACCTCACCCCTCACAAGGATGACATGTGGGCGACCTTTGAAGTGATTGAAAATGGAGAACTAGGTTAGTCATTTTCTACATCGTCTTGGAATATTTTTTAGGCTTAACGATTCCTCGCTGTTTCCTTCACAGAAAACAGCAACAACAACAAACAGCAGGAGCCTTAGCGCTATTTCATGGAAACACACGATGTGAGGTGATTCTGAAGGAGTTCGTTTTGGAGAAGTGACAGGAGAGGGACTACCTTGTCCAAACTCTTCTCCCTTCCCCTTTAGTTTATTCTCCCCTCACCCATCCCCTCTACTACTTCCCCCTCCTTCTCTCCCTCCTTCCCTTCCTTTTCTTCCATTCCTCCCTTCCTTCCTTTCCTTCCCTCCCTCCCTTCCATCATTCCTTCCATACACCCCTGCCTCACTCCTTCCCTTCTTTCTATTCCATTCCTCATTCCCTGCATTCCTTCTCTTCCATTCTTCTGTTTTTCCTTCCTTCCATCATTCCTTCCATACACTCCTTCCTTCCCACCCTTCCTTCTTTCTCTTCCATTCCTTCCTTCCTTTCTTTCCTTCCCTCCCTCCTTTCCATCATTCTTTGCATACACCTCTTCCTTCCATTCTTCATTCCTTCCTTCCCTCCCACCTTTCCTTCTTTCGCTTCCATTCCTTCCTTCTCTTCCATTCCTTTCTCCCTCCCTTCTCTTCTGTTTCTCCCTCCCTCCCTTCCATCATTCTTTCCATACATCCCTCCCTCCCTTCCTTCTCTTCTCTTCCATTCCTCCCTCCCTCCCTCTCTTCCTTCTGTTCCTCCCTTCCCTCCCTCCCTCCCTTTTCTTTTTCCCTTTACCATAAATTGCAGTAAGCTGGAGACCTTATAACAGTGAAAACCTTCTCTCAAACAGGGCAGTTTCTGTTGGCAGAATTGTGGGTGTGCATTTATCATCACAAGTAGCTGTGTTGAATTTACCGAGCTCTCATTTTGAAGCGGTACCTTTCCTCATGAAGTGATTTTCCAGGGAATTCCATCTTTCTCCTAACAACCCCTCACCTCAATTTATAATTGTTTACTAGATGAAACAAACCTCCGAGAACGCAAGTATAGCCTACGTTTTCCAGAATGCAATTTCCTTCTAATATTTATTGTTAGATTGGAACAAAGAATTCTGTTGCTGTTTACTAGCAACACAGAATGACCTTGGGAGGAGAATAATGGGATATATAAGTTTGAGAGGTAGAGGTCTGAAGTGTTGGAACTAAAATATTCACAATGAGCTGAAATATTTGCACAGCAGAGATAAGAACATGAAATTCACTGGCCTTCTGTGGTGGATTTGATATGGTGGGACCTCTGGCTTATAAAATATCACCACTGAAACAAGTGACATCGAGCTGGTTACGCCCATCCTGGTTACACACACACACACACGGTCAAGCACAACCCTGATGCGGCCCTCAATGAAATCGAGTTTGCCACCCCTGGTATAGGGCATGTGGCAATATCCAAAATGAGCAACTGATCTCCAGATCACAACCAACCACATTTTAATTTTCTCTTCTCTTCTAGAACGTCCCTTGCATTGCACCGAGAACATCCTAGAACAGATCCTTCACTGGAGTTCCTTGGCCTGTCCTAGCAACGCCTCTCTTATAATAAAGAAATTTCCAACCATAGGGCTTATGAGTGAAGGTAAATACCGAAATGCATTCCCTCTCACAGGGAGTCCTCGACTTTACAACAGTTCATTTAGTGAACGTTCGGCATTTCAACGGTGCTGAAAACAGTAACTGATAACCTTTTTCCATCCTTACAACCGTGTGCAGCATCTCCATGTGATTTAAATTCAGACGCTTGACAACTATCTCATATTTAGGATGGATGTTCTGACCTAGGCTTCACAAAATCATGAAGCAGACTCCTTGTCCCGACAAAACCCCTTTTATATTGGGCTAATGTGAATTCCTATCATTCACATCCAGCAAAGTCCCGGCAAACAGTCTTTCAAGAGTGAATTACAACCACAGACCTTATCAGGCTTGGAAAGCTGCCAGGCTGATATCTTCCAAGCACAATGCTGTACAAGAAAATACTTGGCAAGGAGTCTCTGAGAGTCACGAACAAATCTTCACACTAATTAAATGAATTAATTGTCTCCTGCAAACACCACTCCCCTTTCGCTCCTCTTTTTATTCTTTATGGGAAGGACCAATCACCATCCATCTGTGCCTTTACTCCCGAGTTGACCCTTGTTCCTTAACTGTTCTCTTCTGGCAGCTCTGTGCATGCGCACACTGGGAACAGGCTCCAGCTATTCTTCTGCCTCACTGATCTCTGACTCCGAAGAAAGCTGATAACTGTCAGATGGCCCTGGCCCCATCTCTGCCTCTGACTCAGAGCCCTTGTCAGAGCTTTCCCCAGACTCCAGGACTGGCCCATGTTTCTCCCCAACCTCCTCACTGTCCGAATCTGCCACCACAACACAGTGTGACCATCATAAATACCTGTCGGGTACCAAGCAGTGAATCTTGATCATGTGACCTTGGGGATGCTGCAACAGTCTTAAGTGTGAAAAATGTCATAAGTCTCTTTGCAACTTTGAACAGTCACTAAATGAACTGTTGTAAGTCGAGGACTACCTGTATTCTATTGTCAATATTGTGCACTTTTAAAGTACAGGTATTTCCACTTGCTCTCTTTTCATCCTCTCCTTCACAATGAATGTCTCTCAACAAACAGGATCTCGTAAATATGTTTTGTGCAGTTTTATCCTTGGATAGATTTCAGGGCCATTAACGAGTCTATTCTTTTTGTTTTAATAAGTGGCTCCTGAATCAATCCCAGTGCACGTTCTGATTTTAGCTTTACTGGTTTGTCTATTGTCACTGATACAGCCTAATGCGAGGATCTAAAAAGGCAATAAGGGAAGTAAATCAAATGTGATTTCATTGTCAGTTTCTTACAAAGACAAGCTGGCATCTTTTCAGCAGCGTTTAGCTTCAATTGACTGTCGAAAGGAAACGACGTATTTCCCCCCTGGTTTTTTGTTTCGTTTTAAGAAGGTGGTGAGTAGAGTGCCATCAGCCCCATGGATGTCTTTATCCCACTGATTGCAATTATGCTTATTCTGTCTTGAAACTGCACAAGTCAGGATAGATAACATAATTGTAATTTTTGAAAACCTGGCTTGTTTTAGGGAAACCCTGGTTGACGTTCGCTAGTGGGCTGGAGAGCAAAATATTTGGTTGGCAAGGCACAATGGTGGGCTCATGCGTTGCACTAAGCCAGCAACAAGGATATCATGTCACGTTTTAGGATAATGCAGGAATCCAGCGAATAATAATTATATATGGCAGAAGCAGGAGCAGATGTTTGCATTTTCCTCCGGTTGAGCTAGCAAAGGTTCGTTAAAGTAGCACTTACATATGCTTTAGCATAAACATGGCAGAGAAAGCATGACTCTGGAATTCTGTCCAATCCTTTAATAAAAAGCCCTTTTTGGATCTACCTGAATCAGAACAGAGAATAGGGCAGGTAGCCTTTATTCCCCATAGCAACACATCTTACCAAGCAATGACCATGGTTAGACTCTCTAGGATCTATCTGTCTTTTTCCTCTATGTGCAGAATGATGTGTTGAATACTGTGAGAGAAGGAGAACCTGGGGTAGAGGTAAAAGAGGGTTTAGCCTAGAATCCCTACATAGGCACAAGCAAGCTATGTCCAACTTCCCTTGAATTCCATTGCTCCTTATCTGCTAAATATCAGTTAAGAAGATTCCTATCTATAGGCATGAGTATAAATCAGTTTAATTAGACCTTCATATGTGGACCTGGACTTTTGCAAGTCTTTCTCTCCAGGAGAGAAATTTGGGTGTGTGGATTAGATGAACTGTATGAACATCTGTTTGTATGTTAGAAAGGATCTAAGCGAGAGGGAGGAGAGGAAGGAAGGAAGGAAGGAAGGAAGGAAGGAAGGAAGGAAGGAAGGAATCCAATTTTGGGGAGAATAAGAAAGAGATCTAGTATTATATTCAAGCAAAAGTGTTTAATCCTGGTTTATAATTTTGCTCTTATCCCTGTTTAAGGTTCCAAACATTCTGTGAACCCATCTTCACCCAAGATTAATTTAGGTATGTTGACTTTTCATATCTTATTCTCTAAAGCACTGCCAAATAATATATGCACAGATAACACATAACTATGTAAATGACCTATTATTCATCTTACAAAATGGAGAGGCTGGCGTCCAAAGAAGTACAATTTATTAGTTTATTTAATTTAAAGTCAGAGACTAACAGACAGAAAATTGCTTAACGAACAAATAGAATAAATTAAAACCCTATCAAATTAAAGAAGATATGTGCATAATAAAATCAACCAGTAAAACAATATAAAAATCATAACTAACAAGGCTGTCTGTAATACTGGAAATGTATCATTTTAATCTGCTAAATGCTGGCTGGCTATTACCAGCTGTAGTGAGTTTAAGTCTGTTAATTTCTGATTTCAAGTTAATGGAGCAGAAGCTTTAAAAAGCTAGTTTGGTGTAGAGATATTGCTGTTGTGGCCCACCCCAAGCTGGCAGCAGATCCGGACAGTGAGGAGGTTGGGGAAGAACATGGGCCAGTCCTGGAGTCTGAGGAAGGCTCTGATCGGTGCTCTGCTTCAGAGGCAGAGATGGGGCAAGGGCCATCTGACAGTTATCAGCTGCCTTTGGTTTGGAGATCAGTGAGGCAGAAGAACAGCTGGAGCCTGTTCTCAATGTGCGCATGTGCAGAGCTGCCAGAAGAAGGGAACAGCTAAAGAACAAGGGTCAACTTGGGAATAAAGCCACAGGTGAATGGTGAATGGCCCCTCCCATAGGGAATAAAAGAGGAATGAAAGGGGAGTGGGGTTTTGCAGGAGACAGTTCATTTGGGTGAATATCTGTTCCTGCATTCTTGCCAAGTATTGTCTGCTACAGTGTGGCATCTGAAAGAAATTGGTCTGGCAACTTTCAAAGCCTCATAAAGGTCTATAATTGCAAAATGTCTTGAAAGACTGTTGGCCTCGACTTTGCTGGAGAGGAAATCACTGTAAACTAAATAAAAGGGGTTGATCAGGACGAGGAGTTGGGGAAGCCTAGGTCAGAACAATTTCACCAGGAGTAGGGATACCTGAATTCCAGTCTGCCACGAGACATCACAGCCATAGAAATAATTTTGGGTTACTCACCCCATCACAAAATGACCTGGGAAACAAACACACAACAAAAAAGATCAAACTCATTCTGAAAATCTTGCTAAGGAAACTTGTGTTACCAAGAGTAAAAGTTGACTTGAAGAACCGTAACAACAAGAAGACGAAATATCAAGAAAAATCAAACCAATTTTGAAAGCGTTGCTAAGGAAGCTTGTTATTAAGAGTAAATGTTGACTTGAAGGATCAAGTGTTACAATGGTAAAATGGTAAAATAGCTGCTAGCAAGAACTATACAATCTTAAACTCAGTCCAGCCAGGACATTTTTTAAATGTTTGCTTGGATCATATGAATGAACATTGGTTAATATAGATATGTTTATGTCCTAGGTTGTTGCAGTGCCCTTAAATTAGCTCTTGAAGAATCATGTTTAATTTATCTATCTATCTAAAAGTGAAATACCACTCAGACATCATCACAAAATCTTCAGAACCGTAAAGCCTACAAATTTGAAATTTGGCACATATGTTCCTCTTGGCTTCTAGGTGCTCACTAAGAAAGGATTTTTC